CCCTAACAAACTCTAAACCCTTACATAACATAGTTAAACCAAATATTAAATGATATTTTGAGTAAATGAGATATTATTAGTGGCATTGTTGAAAACATTTCAAAATGACGGCATATTTGAAAAATGGCATCTCAAAAGTGGCAATTCTCAAAAAAAATTTTTTAAAAAGTTAGCTACCATTATTTGCTCAACAAGTAGGTATATATCATTATATTTGAGGGCTAAACGTCTCAAGTTTCGTGAACTAAAAGTTGATCCGATATTATTTCAACTGCCGGTTCTTCGGATTTACTCAGGGTTTCAACTCTCCGATTTTTAAGACTTTTCCAGACCGAAATGTATCTGGATCAGGTTAGACTGCTTTGGCCGGTCTAGACGATTCGAATTATTAAACATTGGAGAAAACTGTAAAGTTTACCCAAATAACCTAAACATACCAAACCTATAATCTAAATGATTTAAGTTAATATAAGTTTTGGGCATTTCAAATATATATTCGATACTAGGTTCAATTTTTTTCGGTACTAGATGCTTTTCTGAAAATTTTTGGATAGTTTTTACTTTATCTAAACTTATTTTATCACATTAATTATTATTTTATTAATTTTTCTTTTTTCCATTTATATTCTTACCATTCATTTAGCTATTAGAAAATATACAAATCGTTTAAAAAATGTAGACAAAGTTACAAAATGAAAACAAATAAGAATTATGTTGTTTTAAGAACCAGAACTTTGAGGATATGTTTTTTTTTTTTTTAATCTCAAAATCAATTTTTATTTATCCAAAAGTGTTTAAGAGCCAGAACTTTAAGCTTTATTCTTTAGTGCCAATATGGGTCAAAAATTGTATTGAACTTTAGTTCTCCCGTCGAAATCGTAATCATGAGTAAGTGCGATTTCTTAGGGTTTTTAGAATCTGTGATCGGAGATATCACAAATTTTTGGATTCATTTTTTTATACCGATGATTGAGGATGAATAAACAAATTTTTCGATTCACTTTTTTATGCCAATGATTGAGGATATACTCGATTCAA